TGTTGGTGGTAGATAATGGCATGTATAGAATATGATAGTGGTGTTGGTGGTAGATAATGGCATGTATAGAATATGATAGTGGTGTTGGTGGTAGATAATGGCATGTATAGAATATGATAGTGGTGTTGGTGGTAGATAATGGCATGTATAGAATATGATAGTGGTGTTGGTGGTAGATAATGGCATGTATAGAATATGATAGTGGTGTTGGTGGTAGATAATGGCATGTATAGAATATGATAGTGGTGTTGGTGGTAGATAATGGCATGTATAGAATATGATAGTGGTGTTGGTGGTAGATAATGGCATGTATAGAATATGATAGTGGTGTTGGTGGTAGATAATGGCATGTATAGAATATGATAGTGGTGTTGGTGGTAGATAATGGCATGTATAGAATATGATAGTGGTGTTGGTGGTAGATAATGGCATGTATAGAATATGATAGTGGTGTTGGTGGTAGATAATGGCATGTATAGAATATGATAGTGGTGTTGGTGGTAGATAATGGCATGTATAGAATATGATAGTGGTGTTGGTGGTAGATAATGGCATGTATAGAATATGATAGTGGTGTTGGTGGTAGATAGGGGTATAAGTGTTTCGATCCTCAAACCAAGAAATTTCATGTGAGTATGGATGTGTCATTTGTTGAAACAAAATCCTATTTCCCCAACACTTCTCTTCAGGGGGAGACAAGTGGAGTAGAAGACCGTTTTTGGGATATTTCTATCCCGCTTCCCAATGTCATTTATCCTACACAAAAACCACCTCTGTCTGATAATGATCACTTAGGAGAACCAAGTTCTATGGTGCCTAGTCAAGAAGATTCTTGTTTAGGGGGAGAAGTATTACAAAATGATCTAAATCCTGAGCTTCAGGTTTATACTAGGAAGCGATTTCATCTGAAGAATAATGACCTGAATGTCCATCCTAATGGCCCGAATGTCCACCCGAGTTCTGGCATCGAAATTTTAGGTAATCCTATTCCTTCTATTTCCGACCTTGATGTTCCTATAGCAATTAGGAAAGGTGTCCGAAATTGCATTAAACATCATATTGCAAATTACCTCTCCTATCAAAGACTGTCTAAAAACCATAGAGCTTTCACATCTAGGATTTCACACTTGTTTGTTCCAAGGAATGTACAGGAAGCATTGGATGATCCGAATTGGAAATTAGCAGTCATGGAGGAGATGAATGCTTTAAGGAGAAGTGGTACTTGGGAGATAGTTGATCTACCCAAAGACAAGAAAACAGTTGGGTGTAAATGGGTGTTTACGATAAAATGTAACGCAGATGGAAGCGTTGAGAGATACAAGGCGAGACTGGTGGCTAAAGGCTTCACTCAAACTTATGGGATCAACTATCAGGAGACGTTTGCTCCTGTTGCTAAAATAAATTCCATCAGAGTACTGTTATCTCTTGCAGTAAATTCCGATTGGCCTCTACATCAACTTGACATTAAAAATGCATTTCTCAATGGTGATCTTGAAGAGGAGGTGTTCATGAGCCTACCGCCGGGATTTGAGCAGAGACTTGGAAGCGACAGAGTATGTAGATTGAACAAGTCATTATACAGACTCAAACAATCACCAAGATCGTGGTTTGAACGCTTTGGGAAGGCAGTTATCAGTTGTGGCTTCTCGCAGAGTCAAGCAGATCACACAATATTTTATAAATATTCAAAAAATAGTAAAATTACAATTTTGATTGTTTATGTTGATGACATCAATTTAACTGGTAATGATGAAGCAGAGTTAGCAGCCCTCAAAGAGAAACTCGCAAAAGAATTTCACATTAAGGATCTGGGAGCCCTCAAGTATTTCCTCGGAATGGAATTTGCAAGATCCAAGGAAGGTATATTCGTTAATCAGATAAAATATGTTCTTGATCTCCTTGGAGAAACAGGTATGCTTGGTTGTAAGATGGTGGAGACTCCGATCGAGCCTGACTTGAAGTTACAAGCTGCTAAGGCTGAAGAAGTTAAAGAGAGGGAACAATATCAACGACTTGTCGGGAAATTGATTTACTTGTCTCATACGCGGCCTGATATTGCCTTTGCAGTCAACATGGTAAGTCAGTTCATGCACTCACCAGGGGCAGAGCACTTTGAGGCCGTTTATAAGATCTTAAGATAAAACCAAACCAAGCCTTAAGTCCCATCAAATGGGGTCGGTTACATGAATCCTTCTTCTCCACACGACCCTATCAAAGGCCATTTCATTAGTCAAATTAAGTAGATTCATATCTCTATTTATAACGCTAGTCAACGTTAATCTAGGCCTACCCCGTCCCCTAACACTTCCATCTACCGTTACAGCATCGCATCTCTTCACTACTGCCTCTGTTGGTCTTCGTTGAATATGACCAAACCATCTCAAACGATTCTCTCTCAACTTATTTTCTATCGGTGCTACTCCTACCCATTCCCGAATACACTCATTCCTAATCCTGTCTTGTCTAGTCTTACCACACATCCACCTTAGCATCCTCATCTCAGCCACACTCATATTATCTACATGTTATTTCTTGGTTGCCCAACACTCCGTCCCGTACACTCATTCTTAATCCTGTCTTGTCTAGTCTTACCACACATCTACCTTAGCATCCTCATCTCAGCCACACTCATATTATCTACATGTTGTTTCTTGGTTGCCCAACATTCCGTCCCATACAACATAGCTAGTCTAATAGCCGTTCTATAAAACTTACCTTTTAGTCTAGTGGGTATTTGTTTATCACACAACACCCCAGATGCACTTCTCCACTTACACCATCCCGCCTTAATCCTATGGGCCACATCTGCATCAATCTCTCCCGCTGTTGTGATAATTGACCCTAAATAACGAAAATGTTCACTCTTAGGCAGTTCTTGGTTCTCAATCTTCACTTCTCCTCTGCTTTCATTGTTACTGTTACTAAATTTACACTCCATGTACTCTGTCTTAGTTCTGCTTATCCGGAATCCTTTAGATTCAAGAGCTTTTCTCCAAATCTCCAACTTTGTGTTAACTCCTTCTCTAGTCTCATCCACTAACACAATATCGTCTGCAAAAAGCATACACTATGGCACGTCATCCTGAATATTTATCGTCAACTTGTCCACAACTAAAGCAAAAAGATAAGGACTTAAGGTAGATTCTTGGTGTAACCCTACAGTGATAGGAAATTCATTTGTTTCTCCAGCTGGTGATCTAATAGTGGTCACCACCCCTTCATACATGTCCCTAATCACGTCAACGCTATTATTATATGTACATATTATTGTATAATTGTTATAAATGTCATTTTGACATTGTAAGTTACATATAGTACCATTTTATCTCACATACTAGATTAAGGCTTTGTTTGCCATAACTTAAAAAAGTCAAAAAGTCAAAAAATCACTATCCTATTTAAGTCACATCATCTTATTTAAGTCACATCACTTCTCTACCACATCACTTCAAACCCAATCCATACACAACCCATATTTCATAAAAAGTCAAAAAATGCACTTATTTAGATCATCTCAAACCACCCCTAAAAATATAAAAATATGACATTTTTTTGCCAAGTCTGTGTACTCTTAAATTTATGATTTGATGAGTCCGACCTCTAAATATATACCCGCACTCGACACTTGTGCCCGAGTCCATGTAACATACGTTAAAACAATATTTTCTTCTACTACAGAGATAAAACTCCTTTCATTAGACTTCTTTTTTATTTTTAATTTTATACTTAAAATGATTTTAAAATTAAACTATAGTTTGTAAGTTATTTAATATATTGACATTAATTTTGATTTATACCTTTATTTTTGGCATTAAATGTTAATTATTGGTTGGATGTTAACAAATTAAACCATTTAATTAATTTTTGCATTATTCTAAATTAAAAATAAATTTTTTTTTACAAGCTCACCCAGCCGTACCCATACCCTACGTTTTTTGGATTTTACCGTATCGACGTACCCATATCGTAATCGTAATCATACCCGTACCCGTGCTTCATAGGTTAACACCATATTGTTACTTCTTAAACCAAATAATGGAAATTTATGTATTTTTTACGAATGATCTATCCATTATTGAACTTAAATAGTTTTAACATTTATGATGTGACGTTTATAATTGATGAAATAATATTGTACAGCGAATGATATTTAAACTATAGATTGGGTGGTTTTTTATGCTGAAATAGTGACAGTTTTCATTAGTTTTTGTTGTTTATGGATAAAACGTAGAAAATAAAATTACATCAAAAAAATATTTTTCATATTCCTGCCATGTCGGTATCTTAATTTTTTGAAAATAGTTGTGGCTTGCATCCATGTCCATGCTTTATGGCTCCGTGGCACAAAAAAAAAAAAAAAAAAAAAAAAAAAAAAAAAAAAAAAAAAACACATTCAAGCTGAAAAGTCAATCTAATCTAAAGAGTAATTACCTCTTCTACTTCATCAACCAAATGAAAAAAACTAGATTGCAAGGAAAATATTAAGTTTTACAATAAAAAAATAAAAAAGAATAAACTCAATTTTCAAGACTCTTACTTGCATATCAAGTAAATAATTAAATAGATATTTTTTTAAAAAAAAATAAATAAATAAATCTACAAAACTTCAGGATTGAAATTTCAATTTTAAGCAAGTTTGAGTTGTTGGGAGTAATCCCATTTCCCTTTCCCCTTAGAACTAGGCTAGAGTAGGTCCTAACGAATGGCCAAAAAAAAAACAAAAAAAAACAAAACAAAACAAAAACAGAAAACATTAATTTGAAACAAGTCAAAATCTTGAATCCATCAAAGGTCATTTTAATGGGGTTGATTTCTCTATACGCCATTTTTGAGAAGAAAGCAAAAAGCGCAGCTACCAAATTTTACGAGTGCGTAGGATTTTCTTTTCATAAGATTGAAAAAAAAAAAGAAAAAGAAAAAGAAAAAGAAAAGAAAAGAAAATTCTTTTTGGTAAAGAAGAAAAAGCAAATATTGAGAAACAATCAGCGTGAAATACTAACCTTCCTTGTTATCACAGGGGTTGTCATTTCCATTTTCTCCCCATCAGATTGAGTCTTGCGAGTAAAAACAGGGGTGGTCATCTCCATTCTGTCCTTCGTTGTATTCTGAGAATGTGTAAAAGAATAAGCAAACAATAGATGTAAGCATACATCCTTATGATCTACAATCAATTGTCTGAAAACCTCTCATAAACACCTTAGCTACCTTACCAAACAGGTATTCAGCTAAGACATTGAATGATTGTGAAGCACCATTGAAATCAAATCCATATTTCCCAGGCATTGTTGTCTCAGCTATAAAGTAAGGCTGCTTCAAGGTTACAGTAGTAGTTTAGATACATATTCCCAAGAGAAAAATGATTCAAAGCGAATATAGAGAATCACAATTATAAAGGAAAGTTGAGACTTGAAAAGGAGGATGGGGAAGGAGAAGAGAGCGAATTGTTGTTCATTAAGATAACTAGAAAGGGCCAAAATGAATAAGCAACACATCAATGCATCCAAAAACAGATAGTAACGAGTGTATCTACAAGACAATTTCTTTAACAAGAGTAATGCACTAGAAAGCACCAAAAGTAGTGTAAGCCATTTGCATGCCACATCTGCACAAAACAAAACCACCCCATATAAAAGAAAAAGAGAAAAAAAAAAAAAAAAAAAAAAAAAAAAAAAACCCCCCAAAAAAGCAAAACTACCCTATACAAAAGAAAAACAATCAAACAAAACAAAAGAAATAAGCCAAATATAAAGAAATGAATAACCTATACTTCCACACATATAACCAGGCCTGGAGCTAGAATTTACTATTACCATACCATCCTTAACTTTCAGCTAGTTTATTTGTTCTGCACCAAGTTTTTTAAATGCTAACTTTAGATTTAGTTCTACCATCTTTAACTTTCAACTATTTTCCCAATAAATGTGATATTTTTTTCCCTCAAATTATTTGTCATGTTAATTTCAAAATATTAAAATGTTCAATATCTATAACAAGTGATTGAACATTGACCTATAAAATATACATCTAATTGAAATTGATTAATGCACCTTTCTAGCAAATATAAATCACATTGCCACAAGTCGTTGTCATATGGTTTCCAAGTCTAGCATTATATTCTTTTCCTTCTATAGTTGTTAAGTATCTTGTTTTTCAAGAGATAGACATATATATATATATATAGAGAGAGAGAGAGAGACAGAGAGATGACTAGCTTTGTGATGATGATTGAACTTTAAATTGTTGTTAGACTTATAATCACTTTAAGTAATAGGAGGATACCAGCCTTAAGTTTAAATATTGCATTCAAATGGGTTTACTTTTTCCCTTCATTAAAGTGCAATAAGTTATTAAGATTGTCAACAAGAAAATATAGGAAAACCAATCAATAAGTAATCTCGAACTCCCAGAAGGTAGTAAGGCTTTTGATAGGTCATTGGTACGCCTCCTTACACTGTTGGAAGTATCAATAGATTATGGTTATAGATTTCTCAATTTCTCACTTTGTGCATGTCTTAGTTACGTATGTAGGTATTGAGATGTTTTGGGGGCCCACCATCAACAAAAGTGTACAACTTGCTATATACCATTATCCCTAAATACATCATGAAGGTTTCTGCTGCCTTTTTTTTTTTTTTTTGTTGTTGTGTGGGGGGGGGGGGGGTGGGGCGCTGCTGTGTCAATTAGGGAAGCAGCACTGTGCAACCCAAGAACAAACCAAAAGACACAGAATACAACTGAAGAGTTGGATTTAAGAGTGAGGTCACATTAATGTGAGCACAAATTCAAATAAAAAGGAGGAACCAATGGAAAATCAAAGTTTTAAGTCCATAATACAAACAGGAAGTTATGAATACAAAACAGAAATTAACACAATTAAAGTTTTTCTATAATCAGACAGACATACCTAAGAACAGAGAAGAAGAATAAAACAGAGCCAGAAAAAAGATACCTTTGATTTGAAATTCTGCTATAATAAGAGTTAGATCATCTATGTTTTTCTCTTGTGGAGTGAAGTTTAATGAAAAAAGCAATCAAACCAACCAAACAATTTGATCTAACCATCTGACGAAGAAATCCTTTCATACATTAAACACTATTCCATATATCTACATTCTTTTTGTGTACTCTTATGCCATGCACCTGTGCTGATTCCTATTTTGCTTTAGCAGATTTCCATACCTTTACTTCTTTCTTTGTGATATAGAGACATAGAATTAAATTAGATATTTTTTGTTTCCAAAGCGTAGTAAAGAAACTTCCATAGTTTGAACTTTTTGTTTCCTTTAACTTCATGAATCTTGTAAATTTTTGTTCCCATAAGTATAATATGAACTTTCGTAGTTTAAACTTATGTTTTCTTTGACCATATGAATCATGTAATAGAGTTCCAGATAAAAAAATAAAAAATCTATTACTTTTGTGGTTACACTTGTATTGATTTAGAATGAAGTACCAGGAAGACCCATGTGGGGGTTAAAAGTCACTTACTTAGTGGATGACATCTAATCTAAATTAGTCAAACCAATTATTGGTTAGTTTTAAGTACTACTGCTGGAGTAGTTATGAAATTTTATAAAGTGACGTGTATTCTTTAGATTTGAAATTTTGAATAAAAAGGATGTTGACAAAGCATCTTCTTCAAGAGGCTTTTCAACAGGTAGACAACTCAAATTTTCAATATCGTCTTCAGGTAGACAACTGTGAGCATCTTATTCAGGAGGCTTGTTGACAGGTAGACTACTTGGCTTTTCAACATCTTCTTTGGGTAGACAACTGTGAGTATCTTCTTCATCATGAAGCTTTCTACGACTCTGATAAGGATGGCATGCCTTCTTGAAAGATTCTTTCTTTGATGATTCTGATATAGGGAGGCTAATTTTGCTACAGATACAATGGCCAAATATGCTGCTCAAGATCCCTTTTTTTTTTCTTTTTTTTTTTTTGGTATGTTGTGTATGCTCCTTTGTTCTCAAAAGTATTTCAGTTTAATGATCAAAAGGTGGCCACTGTCCCAAGGAATGTATTTATGGATAATCTTGGTAGAACTGTCTTGTTTAGTTCTATTGTTTTTGTTGGGAGATCTTGAGTTCAATTGTGTTTTTTTTTTTTTTTTTGGGTGAATAAGTCATAAAATAAAAGACAAATATATACAAGATACAAGAGGCATGTCTCAGGAGCTAACCAACTATACAAAGAGCCACCAACAAAACCAAAAACACAACAGGACAAAACAACTTGTTCAAACACCACATGAGCACAGGAGCAGATAAGGAGCAGGAACAAGATCAATACTGAGCTACACATTAGGATAGACCTAGAAGCTACTGGACCACAAAACAATATCCAAAATATAACTCAAAAACAAGGTCTACTACCATAATTAAGGCCATGTACATTCCACATAGAAATCCAAAATTAGGTTCTGGGATTACAAAAATTAACCACTAGAGCCTATTATAACTATACTAATAAATAAAAATTCAGACTGTAAAACAACCACCACATCCTCTTAGACAGCAGGCAACATCAGATCATTAAGCACCAGCAAAATGGCAAGCAACAGCAGACAACAAGCCTCAGCAAGAAGGCAGCAACAACAGCAGTAGCAGTAGCCAGTAGCACAGAACCTAATTTTGGAGAAGCTATGAGTATGGAAGGTGTCACTGTCATATTTTGGTGTTTCTCTTGAAGAATAGGTGACTAATTTAATGGGCCAGCCGTTTTGTTTCTTAATAATACTGATATCTACCACACCGACTCTGGTTAAATGATAAATTTGATTTTGTTTGGAAGCAAGTTAGTTGAAAAGACCACACATGTTTTGTTCTTGTATAGATAATCGAACTAACATGTAAATTTATATTTGCTCGGAATCTGTGATACTACTCTTTTGAGGAGACAACTTACTTTTATTTCTCTATATTCTCTTAGAGTGAGTGTTGAATTTTAGTAGAAAAACAATATCATTGCCATTTGTTTTTCTAGATTATCCTCTTGAGGTGTTGTTGGAAACTGTCACTCAACTCTTCTAGTTGATATGATTTTATTCTCTTCCTAGAAAACTTCTATTTTGCTGTTGATGGAACCAAAGTTTTCTGGATTCACCATCACAGCAGCACCTAGCTAAGTCAACTAATTTGTTAATGTTATTCTATTTTTTGTTTTGTTTTTGTTTTTTTATTTTTTAATTTATATTAAGAGGCAAGTGCTGAATTGTGTGTGTTAGTGATGTAAATCAAAATCATAATATCTCAGTAAGCTACATTTGGTTATCCTTATTTCCTGTTTTGATTTTCTTTTCTTAATCTGCCTTGAGAATTTTCTTATCCTTATTTCTTGTTTTGTTTTTCTTTTCTTTGTTTAATTTTAATATCTAGGAAGCTTCAATGTGATACAAAACTTTTGAAACTTCCTTTCTTCAATCCAAGAAAAATATTATTCATGGTTGGATAATAAGGGGGGGAGGGGAGAGAGATCCTAGCCTCCAAATGATATGTAGAGTGAAATAGAAAAAGGGATAAGAAAGGGAGAGAAAGAGGAGAGGAAGCTAACTTTGTGACACCCTGAAAATGAGTAGAATATTTATTCTGAAATCTTTCAATCACGCCCTTCCCTTCCTCTTGCAAGTTGGTTATGGGATAATCTTTTGATGGCCTATCTCAGATGCACTGAAGGCACCACCAAAATCCAGATAGCTTCCTTTGTAGGTTAACAAATTCATTAAGGACGGAAATAAATAAGGAGATGCCTTTTCATTATAGAAGCTTTTTCAAGACCTACATCTGGTTGTTGCCTTTTGGTAAGGTTTATAGTCCTGCTGTTATCTGCTTCACCATTTACTGGTTATATCACTAGAATTGTCCTCCCAAGAAGATGTCTTTTTTCAATTTGTCATGTGTTCCTATCTTGATATCTTTGCAATTACAGCATGAGATGGCAGTAGAGAGTGCATGGATTTTTGATATGGATTGTTATTATCAAACTCTGATTCTTGCTAGAAGGATTTTTGTGATGGGTGGGACACATATGCTCAAGAAGGTAAAGTTATTGCTCAAAGAAGTAGACTTTATTTTGCAACATATACATTCATCTCTAAGTTTATTCAGAACTTACACTCAACTCTTCTGTTCATAATCAGTTTTGAACTTGCTTTTCTAGATTAACTTGACTAATCCAAATCAAAATGAAGACATAAAACTTCCTTCAAATACAAAAGCTGTTAAAGATCTGTATGTCTCCCCTTGTGGGAAACTTGTACTTTTAGCTTCGATGGGTAAAAAATTATCAATTACTAGGTATACTTATTG